CCTATTGTACCTGTTTTGAAAGAAAACAATAAATAAAACTATTATTTACGGATTTTATCGCGTTTAATTACTTTAATTTATTTTTATTATTATCCCGACGTTTCGGGTGCTTTACAGCGCCCATGGTCACGGGGGGGACTAAGATGTTTGACGTCCCAATGTCATAGTTAGTCCGGCTACCTTCAGTTTTTTAATATTAATTTTTGGTCCGATTTACGCAAAACGAGCTTATAGTATCATGAAGTCTTGCAGTGGTATGCTTGGGTTTGGTTTAATTTTGTTAATTATAGGATCCCAAGCAGATGGTAGCACCCAACCATCTTCTCTATTGAAATTTTGATGTTTTTTAATTTCAATAGCCTCGCGTATCATCCTTGGTAGGAATCGGTGTTCTTTTGCGAGAATTTGTGGTTTATCAAATCTAATGTAATGGTAGGGACGATCTTGAACATGTTCGCAGACTGCAGACTTCCCGGAGCGTCGGTGCTTCACATCAGCTATATGTTCCTTCACGCGGGTTTTTATAGATCTCTTTGTTTGACCTATGTAAGAGAGACCACATTCACAATCTAGCTTGTACACACCTGCGTCTTGTGTACAAGATAGATTGTGAATGTGGTCTCTACACACCTGCGTCTTGAGTACAATGTGTAGTGTTCGCGTAAATTTAAGAAATCATTAAGAAAACAATAAAATAAAAATAGCAGGAGATTTCTCGGTCAAGCTGAATAAAGATCTTTTGATTGAAAGATACCCCTTACCTAGAATCGAAGAAGTATTTGCTAAAATTGCGGCGTGGCGAACGATACAGTGAAATTGATCTTAAGAATGCTTATAATCAATTTGTTTTAGATGAGCCATCCCAATTACTTACAACAATAAATACCCATAAAGGGTTATTTAAATATACAAGATTAGTGTATGGCTTATCTAATGCACCTGCAATCTTTCAAAAGGCTATGGAGACACTTCTCTCTGGCATAGATGGAGTCAGCGTATGGCTCGATGATATTTGTATAACTGGCCCCAATAGTGATTCCCACATTAAAAGATTAGAAGAAGTATTAAGTCGGTTAAGTGACGCTGGGTTGCGACTACAGAGAGACAAGTGTGATTTCTTAAGGATACTGTAAAATATTTAAGCTATTACTAAGCTACTACTTAAAGACTGACTCGGAAAAAAGTTCACGCTATCATTAATGCGCCCGAGCCGACTAACGTAACCGAAGTTAAGAGATTTTTAGGCATGGTCAATTATTATAGGAATTTTATACCAAATGCTTATTCACTACTCCATCCTCTTCACGAGCTATTGCGTCACGATACGCCATGGGAGTGGGGCGAGCGTCAGAGGCGTAGCATGGCGGCAGTGCGCCGCGAGCTGGCGTCCGAGCGCGTGCTAGCGCACTTCGAGCCCACAGCACAACTCGTACTGTGCGTGGACGCCGGACCCGGGGCCTAGGCGCCGTTCTATCACAACGATTGGACGACGGTCACGAACGCCCCCTCGCATTTGGCGTCTCGTTCACTCACCACCAGTGAAAGTAACTACAGCCAAATTCAGAAAGAGGCAACTTCCATTATATTTGGGGTGAAAAAATTTAATAAAATTTTGTATGGTCGAAGCGATCCGTTTATTTTTAAAACCGACCATAGGCCTCTAGTTTCTATCTTCGATACTAAAACAGGCATACCGATTACAACAGCGCTGAGATTACAGCGATATGCTATAATATTATCGGCCTATAATTACACAGTCCAGTATGTGTCGAGCGATAAAAACGTAGTTGCGGATTATTTTTCTCGCTCACCCTTAACGTGTAGAAACGCATCGGAATGCCACGATAACGATTTAGACTCTTACTACGTAGTTAAGTTTATGAATGAGACGTCACTGGCGACGACAATCCGCGATATTGCACAAGTGACACAACAAGATACCGTTCTTAAAACAGTCATTAGGTACATGAATCACGGTTGGCCACGTAAAATAAGTTGTCGAACAATACTTCCTTATTTTCAATGTAAGTCCGACTTACAGTTCGAACAAGGGTGCTTATTTAGGGGACATAGAATAGTAATTCCGTCAAAGTTTAGGGAATACATGCTAAAAGAACTACACGACACACATCTAGGAATAATAAAAACAAAAAGTAACGCACGAAGTAGGATGTGGTGGCCGGGTATCGCCCGCGACATTGAACGTTGATCGGGTCCTGCAAAACATGCGTGAGCTTACGCTAAGCCCCGCCGCGCGATCCGCCGGCGCCGCATGGCAGCGCGTACATATCGACTACATGACCGTGAGACAAAGGTATACCTCGTGGTAGTTGATTCGTTTAGGAAATGGCTGGAATGTATATACATGAACAGTGGAACGTCGTAACAATCGCTTATTACAAAAATTAAAAAATATTTTCTCTACCTTCGGTATACCTAATATTTTAGTTTCTGATAACGATGTTAAAATAAACTCTAATGAATTTAAGACCTTCTGCTCTAACAATGGCATTAAGTACTTAACTTCTCCCATATATCATCCACCAAGTAATGGACAAGCGGAGAATTCGGTTAGGATTTGTAAAAAAGATGCTAAAATGTATTTGAAAAGATAACCTACCACGGCAACAAATTAATGAAGTATTATTGGGATATTTATTTAACTACAGGAACACGGTACACTGTACAACCGGCGAAACGCCGGCTAAATTAATGTTTGGTAGAAATCTACGATCTCGTCTCGACCTAATTATACCCATAGAAAAAACACAATTAAATATGCCTTTAGTAACCAGTAGGAGATTTTTTTGAATTAGGTGATACTATTTGGTCTCGGTGGTACAGAGCCCGGAAAGAAACTTGGGAGTTAGGTACAATTAAAGAGAAGGTCGGTAGTAAAATGTACAAAATATTTATTATAAAATATGAAGCAACACGCATTAGACATATATAACAGCTGTTAAAATTTACGGGCAACGATAATTCATTAAAAATTAATAACACTGATAATGTTGGAGACTCGCAATTTTCAGTCGTTACCCTTGTCAAGGTCTATGCCCGTTAATGCTCCTTTATCCGAACCTTCTGTAGGCAATCCTCGGTCATCGACCATAGTAGAGCAACCCGTTAATACTGACGCAATAGACCATGATAATGGGGAAGAATGGGGCGATTATTCGGCACAGGACAGCGTGGGAGACTCAACAGAGATTCCGGAAGCGTCAGATTCGCCTGAAGCTTCCGAAAACGGAGTCGAACAGCCTCAGAGCGATTATGTCCGCCCAATGACGTACCACCAAGCGCAGGCACCGACACCCGCTCTCGACTGCGCCCCCAGAAGAGGATAGATTATAAGAAATATTTTTTCAATGATTCATTGTGTTATTAAATTTAGTTGTATGTGTGTTTTATTTAAAACTTTATGTATTATATATTTAATAGAAATTTAAGTATTAACTGATCACTGTAAATCTACTTTGTTAACAGGTATCAAAAATTAAGTGTAGAGGAATGATATGTATTGCGGGTGCGCAGCACAGCCAGTAATAAACTAGCCTCGCTACTAAACGGTTGTTTCCTTTGTTCAATTCATCTCACCTAGACATATCATATTAGTGCCGGTGGTAAGCGGGTTTGTTGTAGCAATACGGCTTTCCCGTGGACATCGCACACCCATACCGTTTGTGGGCGACGTCGTAGCGCATAGTGATGCGTCGTCTATCTTTCGGATTGGGATGATGAGTGTGTTTGGTAGCACTTTTAAGTGTAACAGGCATACTCAACTTCATGTCTTAGTGCATTAGCGCTATGATACGTGGAGTTTTGTCCACTGGCGTCTTAGTAGCGTGCTACTATGATACGTTGGTGCAGTTTTATATAACAACAATCTTAGTGCCGGTGGTAAGCGGGTTTGTTGTAGCAATACGGCTTTCCCTGTGGACATCGCACACCCATACCGTTTGTGGGCGACGTCGTAGCGCATAGCGATACGTCGTCTATCTTTCGGATTGGGATGATGAGTGTGTTTGGTAGTACTTTTAAGTGTAACAGGCATACTCAACTTCATGTCGTAGTGCATTAGCGCTATGATACGTGAAGTTTTGTCCACTGGCGTCTTAGTAGCGTGCTACTATGATACGTTGGTGCAGTTTTATATAACAACAATCTTAGTGCCGGTGGTAAGCGGGTTTGTTGTAGCAATACGGCTTTCCCGTGGACATCGCTCACCCATACCGTTTGTGGGCGACATCGTAGCGCATAGCGATGCGTCGTCTGTCTTTCGGATTAGGATGATGAGTGTGTTTGGTAGCACTTTTAAGTGTAACAGGCATACTCAACTTCAGGTCTTAGTGCATCAGCGCTTTGATACGTGGAGTTTTGTTCATTGGCGTCTTAGTAGCGTGCTACTATGATACGTTGGTGATATTTTTTATATAACAACAATAAAAACTTTGTTACCAAAATCGATAGGGGTCATATGGGTGTGTTGTGAGGGGGCGCCATCCGTATGATAGTTGCATTGATGCTTACTGCTACTTGCGGTATTGCGTCTTGTGATGGATCTGCGGGTGTGCTGCGCCTGATTCGTCGCACTCTTGTAGTTCTGGTCGATGGAGGTATGCTGGTGGTGATGTCTGCTGGGGTGTATGGGGGACCTTGGGATGGTGTAAGCCGACGATAGTCGTATTGATGCTTGTTGCGTTCTGCAGCATTTCATCTCTGCGATGGTTGTTTGGTGGGACGCTATTCTCAATGGCGCTCTCTGCGTCTTGGTTTGACTCACACCTAAGTAGCTTTGCCCAAGTCGGGACCCTTCATTACGGGGCTGCAGACTGTCTGCCCTCCATGACTGTTTTATATAACAACATAATAATATATCTCTGTAACTTTCCCACGTTTGAATGATTGAAGGCAACTTGTTGGTGGGCGAGACAAACATGATCGAAAATGCATTCACTCAACGTCAGTGACACAAACCCTTTCTGAGTGCGCATTATTACTCTTATCTTATAACTGCCTTTTGGCTATATCTGCCGTTGTGGTGGAGCTTATGTGTCGACCTCATGTTTGTGGTAGCTGGCGGGAGGATCTGAGGAGACTCTCAAGGCTGCGACCGAAAGCCGCACAACGTGGGACCCCATTCCCTTGAGGTGAGCGGTAGACTCATGACACGCTCTGCGGCCAGTAGCCGTGCTGATCATGCACTGTGCGTGGTGATGCCATACACTTACATCACGTCTGCAGGAGCAGCGGCCTGGCAGGTGGTGGCGCTCACGGAGGGTTTACGGCTAGTGTGCCTATTTGCCTAAACCGTGTGACGTACATTCACTGTGGCTGGATTCGTTCGTATTCTGTATGGCGTTTACACGCATTGACATGCGCGACTTCGGTCGATGTTTGTGCTTACGCACTAACAAGGGGCCAAGCCTTTTTTACTGGTTCGTCAGTTATTTTGTTGTGGACTACGGTCCAGTTCCCGAATTAGCGTTCCCTATGGGGGGAGTGCATCAAAATGGTTGGCGTCACCGTGCACGGCGTGTGTGGGGCCGTGTGCCTCCCCTACATTTTTTTTAAATAAATGTAGGAGAGTGAAGCCCTTGTATTGGGTATTTTGTATAAATATATTTTAAGCCTTTTCCACGGGAAGGGATAAATAATAATAAATTAATAATGTAAACCTGATACAAGTGGAATAGGGACGTTTTATGTTCTTAACCTTTCTCGAACCCTGTCTTCGTGAATAGGGTTCACCTAGCTTATAAGGCACTATCAACAGCTTTCAATTGCCCTAGTGAATATTCATTCTTCCAAGAGACACCGAAAAGAACTAAGTTACTAAGCAAACACAACGTAACTAAGGTTCCTAACTAAGCACGATCACGCCAAAATATTACAAACGCCTAATAAACCTTTTAGAAAGATCAAAATTTATCTTACTTATCTTGGTCACAAATATATATAATTATTAGGTAAACGGGAAAATAATACATTTAGTTTTAATATATTTATTATTATGAGAGAGGGGAAGCCTTACAATTTGGTTCCCCGTGACCAGGATATATTTTAAAAAAGAAGGTCGTCTATATAAGAATTATGAATTAGGCGTTATGCCTACAATTTGTTGTCCGTGAAATGAAAAGGTGTCTTGGAGGATGGTGTTTGCTGGGGGGTGGGGCTTTAATATTAATATTGATTTTTTATTATAAGGTGTGTGCATAGTTAATGCCAAATAAAATATAAAGTGAGATAAATGAGAAGACGCAGTAAAATTGTGTAAGGGAAGGACATAACAGTGCTAAAAACTAGTAAAAGTATATAAATATAAAATGGATAAAACAGAAGAAAAGTTCTAACTTAGTGAAGGAAATTAGCCTAAAATTAATTTAAGATGCTTCAAAAATTAATTAAAAATGCAGTGAAAACCTTTGACGTTAAAATAATTTCTCGAAGAAAAGTTTATTAACCAAACGAAAGTTCACCAAATTAAAGTAAACCGAGAAGAGGTGTACGGGGCGAGCACCTCACATGTCATTGATCCTAGACGAAATATTTTATATAACATACATAATGTGACAATAGAAAAGCTGAAATTGGAAATGAAAATACTCATCCAGTAACATTTTATAAGATCTCAGCAATTAATTAAAGGACGTTCCATCTAATCTCTACATAATCGAAAGTTATGAGCAAGATTTAACTTAAATTTTTAGGAAAATTATTAATTTAATTATTTTATTATATTAATTCATTAAAACAAATAATGTTTGTTTTAATGAATTAATATAATAAAATAATTAAATTTTGAGAATTATAAACCTGAATAATGCGACTGACTCAATAACATTAATAAGTTCAGCAGCCACTTAAACTAAATAGTAAAAGCAAACATAATGTCGGACAAATTAGATAACAAGTGCGAGAATTTTTAAAAAGAGGCAAATCGCATTAGAAACACAAAATTTGATAAGCGCAATAAATTAATGAAATATCACATTGGCGATTTAGTAAAAGGTTCTAGATCTAGTAAATCGGATGCAGATAACAAAATTATGAGTAAATTTAATTTGGCGTATGAGGGCCTTATATAATAGCAGCCGAACCATTTGACAATGTACTTTAATATTATGCAAACCCAGAAACAAATGAAATTATAGGAAATTTTGATGCTATTCATTTATTAAAATATTTTAAATAATAGTTTTGTTTTATATACATACTAGAATAAATACTGTAATATAAATTTGTCTCGTGGGTGGCCCTTTGAGAAAAAAATTTTAAACTATTAAAGTTACGAGCAAAACACAAAACTATTAAAAATACGAAAAATTATATAATAATTATATTACCGACTATATGTAAATATTGAATGTTAGATAAATTTGAAAAATAATTTTTATTTGAATAAATTTGTGGAGTTGGGAAGTTAGTTGAGCCATTCCACCCTGAGGTGAATGGCTCAATCAAATTTATCCTGTGGGTTTGTAACCATCTGATTTCAACTCATATTCAAAATACTGTACATATAAAGACGGCATTGATAAATAAATATTTTAAAGACTTAAAAAATGTAAGTCAAAAACTAAAGAGAACCGCTATATTAACGACATAATATACAATAAATTTAGCAAGATATTTACAAGGGATAGATGTGGTAGAAGGGGTGATGGCGGCGGCTATTCCCTGGGGTAGGCGGGATGAAAATATATACTGAATTGTAACAGATTGAAAGAGGAAAGAACAGATACACATAAGTTCAAAATTTAGAGTGTAGTGCATATGCTCTCAATATAGAAAAATTTTATATCAACGACTCCAATGTGTTGGATCATTAAATAAAATTTGGAGGTGGATTGTGACGCCAAATATTATTATTAATAACTAAATTCAATATAAAGGGGCATCAAAATTATTCTTAAAAGATATATATTAAACAATAAAAAATTACAATAATAACCATAAAGTTAATATAAAATACATTTCAGACATTAGACCAATAACATAGTAAATTAAAGGCAAAATATTGTCTTCCATAAAAAATAAATTTCTTAAAAACTTGTAAAAATATTTAAAATAAGATAAATAATAGAAATACAGATCGAAAATATTATAAAAATAAAGATAAATAACATTTATAAGATAATTAGAAAATTTGTTAAAAATTCTCTAAGTTTTGGAAGGGAGTTCGCTATAAAAGAAAATTTTCCTAAGTTGTGGAAGGGAGTTCATGTATAAAAGAAATTTCCTAAGTTGTGGAAGGAGTTCATGTATAGATGTCTTGTATGGAGGAGCTGTCGAGATACATACCTGCAGATGTACATATATATGGGGTGATCGGAGCCCGACTGCC